CAGGCATTCATGTTGTCCACATGCACTTTACTGACCTCCCCCAGCTTGCTCACGCACCGATGGGGGCATCACACTTATGATCCTTTCATATCAGAGAGAGAGAGAGAAAAAAAAATGATACGTACACATATACTTTTACAAAGACTACTTCATTGCTGTGTTACAGAAACATGGGAGTGTTCTGAATCTCTGTGTGTGTCTTATTTGGAAGCTGGAGCGGAAAGGTTCTCTTTCTGTGGCAAAGTAGGATCCCCTTTGGCAAGAGGGTGCTTGCTTTGGATCACATTTTGTTTCGTTGCCACCTGCAAACACCACAGGAAAACTTGACTTAGACTGGGTCGAAGTTCTCAACAGATATTTATTCTCTTGCAGATCTGTTGTAAAAGTTAATTTTTCTTAGTTGGTTTGATGACCTGGGAGTGCTTCCCCACACAAGAAATTGATAGCTCTTGCTGCTCTCAGTCCTGTCCCCATTGCACTATCTATCCAACCATGGTACACAGTGGTGTGCTCCCCAGCGAAATAGAGTCTACCTTCTGGCTTGCGAAGAGGTTGAATATACTCTGTATACTGGTAGGGGGTGAACCGAGTGATGCCAGTCATGGCGTACGGATCCAGGCTCCATCGTTTTATCACTGAGGAGCTACAGATACTTTGTATCTCTTCTTTAGGCAGCTGATGGATGACTGAGAGGTCATCCAGGATGACATTAATGATGTCTTCTTGGCTGAGGGGCAAGAAAAAATCAGAGTCACCGCTGTTGACATAGGAAGCCAAGAGAACCCCAAAGCCGCTGGAGAAATTATGGGCAATGTAGTTGGTGAATCGGGATGGACGATCGGTGACAGACATCCCGCCACGAATGCCATCAGCTTCCCAGAACTTCTTGGAGCAACCAAGGAAGACCTTGGTGGCGCTCCTGTAGGTGACGGCTCGCAAGGCATCTGATTTGTCCAGTGAGAGGGGTGGATCAAAATCGATGCGCCGGGTGGCCTTTGTTGTAGGGGTGAGGATGGCGTAGTCGGCCGTCACACTTGACAATGATTGGTTCAGTGTTTTATATACTGCAGTAACAGTGCCGTTCCTTTGTTTTATCCTGACCACTCTGGCATTCAAGAACACCCGTTCTGAAATGGTTTTGTAAATGGCTCTTGGCAGTAGATCAATGCCTCCTGATATTTCATCATAGCTGCAAGACAAAAGAAAACTCGAATAAACAGGTTGGAAATAGACAGAGGGGCCTCTTCACAATACTTCCCGCCCTACACTAGTGTGCTCTAGAGGCAAGACCTCTTCACCGCCTTGAGAGAAGGAACTGTTATTGAAATCGTAGGCCTCTGCTGTGGGAAAGTAGGAAGTCCTCTAATATCAGTTAAGTCTGCCCCGGGCAGAACAATCACTTTCTTATGGACTTTATGGAAAATATAATCTCAGTTTTTCGCAGGACCTCCTGAATATCTAATTACTGAATGATGTTTTTTTACATTGCATGGGTTTTTTTGTTTTGTTTTTTGTTGTTGTTTGTTATGGCTCTTGGGGCTCGTTTGGATCCAACGCAATGGAGAGTTGTTCAGTGAAAAACCTTATGTACCAGCCTTCAGATTTATCTGGGGCTCTTGATGATAACAGCCCGGATAGCTCTATATTAAAAAGGTAAAGGTTTCCCTTGCTCGAAAGCCAGTTGAATCTGACTCTAGAGGGCAGTGCTCATCTCAGTTTCCAAGCTGAAGAGCCAGTGCTGTCTGAAGACTTCTCCATGGTCATGTGGCCGGCATGACTAAACACCAAGGCCCACGGAATGCTGTTACCTTCCCACTGAAGCAGTACCTATTTATCTACTTGCAATTTCTTGTTTTTGAACTACTAGGTTGGCAGGAGCTGGGGCCAGAGACGGGAGCTCACTCCATCACGCAACCCCACCACTCCAGCTCCCCTGGAGAAAATGGCTGCTCTGAAGGGTGGACTCTATGGCCTTAAATAGTCAATAAAGTGGCCCATATTTATCCCAACACTGAGTACATTTTTTTCTTTCTAAGTGGGAGTGGGGGGGGAATCAACCCCTGTGAGGTAGGCTGGCTCCGGATCACCCAATGAGCTGATTGGCCCAAGATCACCCAATGAGTTTCAGGGTTTCAGGAACAATCTGAACCTCCCATCACTCTGTTCAAAGTCCAGCACACTAGCTACTACCCCTCCTAACTGCCATGCATTTATGTCTGTAGTGTAGATGAAGTTAGGAAAGGGAAGAAACTCATGTCTGTGAAGAAATTCACTGCTGTACACTGTTCCCAAACTGAGTGGGACCCTATGTAAATTAATCAGAGTGAGGTAAAAAGTACACAGATTCATAGAAATACGAAGGCAAAGCAGCTTCCCAGCCTCTGTCCTATCCATATCATGATAACTCTTGATAGGTTAAAACTTTCAATTCGGAACCAGACGTTCAGGGTACCGTGGGTACCATTTTGGGGTGTAGAAAGGTGGGCCTACAAATATTGCAAATAAATAAATAAATCTCTATGGTAAAGATGTCTTGTTCTTGGTGAATTGATTTATATTGGCTTCAATAAGGGTTTTCTTGGACATGTGCCATATAATTGCAGCACTGGAAATTGCTCACCAAGTCCGAATGACTAAGTTTTCTGTCAGCTAGGATTAATCCTTCCCAGTTTCCCCAGCAAGGTGCATTTGCTTACCCCTTGAAAAAACTGGAGATTTCCGCTTTCAAACTTTCAATGAAGGACTGGTAATAACCGGCATCATGGTTTAGCAAGTCTCCAATCATCTGGACAGCTCCTTGGCTCATGTTTCCCACCTCGATTAAATATTGCTGTTAAAGGAAAAGAGAGTCCCAGGTCTGATGAGTGTCCAAGTCATTTTTCACATGAGATTTAACCAAACAGTATGCATGATGTATGCAGAATTGCAGATACTTAATTACATTGATTTTGCCAAGCAAGCACCAAATTTAATATCTAAGAGGGAACTTGAGATGGGAACAAACTGGAAATCCCCCAGCTACCAAAATCTCCTCCCTTAAGGATTCCATAAGCTTTCAGGGACTTCAACAAGTCAATTCCCTCAAATTCTTTCCATTGCTTTCCTATTTAACTGACTCTCAATTGCTTCCAACGTTGTTATTATTATTAACAAAGTTTTTACCCCACCTTTCTGTGTGGGGTCTGAACAAAATCCTGCGAGGCATGCCCAGGTCAAAGTTCAGGCTCCCCAGGTCAAAGTTCAAGTTCTCACCGGGAGATTGCCGGGAGATTGGTTTGGCAAAAAGCATAGGGTTTTCTGATTCTGCATGAGCTGCTAAATTACTCTAAGAACATAATGAATTACAGAGAGCACAAAAGCTTTGCAACATTCAAAGATAATCTGGCTGTGAGAAGAACATTCTGTGTTTCTAGTAGAAGCTCCTAAAAAGTAACAATTTCACTGTGCAAAGTGTAGGCTTGTTTTTCCCTCTAAAATAAAACACTGCGCAGCCTGTCAGCTCGGAACAGTTTGGTACAGAGAGAGACAGACAGAGAGACAGAGCTGGTCTGCAGCTTCAAGAAATCTTTGTGTGTTGTGTCGTGATTGAACCCTACTAAAAGTCAACATTTCTGTCCCTGTAGGATCACCAAGGTGGCTAACAAATTAAAACATACAAATTAAAATATTATCTTAAAACCATTAAAACCAGCACACAAATACATCATTCAAACAAGTTAAAACCAGAGCTAAACATTACAAAAGATAAAAACAAGGGATAAAACAATGGGGAGGATGGAGAGAACACTGAGGGAATGCCAAGTGAAAAAAAGATTATGCTGCACCTAGAACAATCTGGAATTAGGAGGCCATTTCCCCCCTGTTGGTTCATTTCCAAAATAGTATTTTTCTGTATATCTGGAGAGAGCCCTATGCAGAAATCCATGTCTTGTTTATGGATGGCCCTGGTTTCATTGTTTTTATGATTGTCATGAACCATCCAGTTTATTAGCGATATACAATATGGCATCCCAAGTTTTTTAACTTTTAGGAATTTGTTTTTAAATGACAACTTATAGTTGTTGTGGCTTTGAAGGACAGTTTGAGAATATATTACCAGTGGGGAAATCTCAGCCAGATGAGGGATAAGCAGATCTTTGGATGAAAACAGATATCATATTCTTAGAACCTCACACTTGGAAGGAACATGACCATGTTTGTTTGTCTGCCTGCCTGCCTGCCTGCCTGCCTGCCTGTATGTGTGCATAAAGATACTTGATGTTGTGTATTGAGATTCTTGGTACCCAGGGGTCATTTCCTGTAGGAGTGCACAGGAGTGAAGCTCCGCCAGTAAAGAGCCCAGGGTAGCGGGCACATGCAACAAGCCACCCCCCTGCTTCCAGCAGCCCTCAGTCAGAGCAAGAAGCAGTCCAGTGGCACCTTTAAGACCAAGTTTTATTCAGGTACAAGCTCTCCCTCCTCTGCGAGGACAGATCTGCACGTCCCTCAATAGTTAGCAATCCAAAACAGTCCAGTGGAGCCTGAGCGGTGGGAGTTGCCTTCTGACACACTTCCGGTGATGTCATGGGGTGTGGCATACGCAAATGAGTTATGCTAATGAGTTATGCTAATGAGCTCCTGAATCTCTTTTTCTACAAAATGACCCCTATTGGTACCACTGGACAAGTGTTTCAAATGCTGCAGTCCGCTTAGAGGCTGGCTTGGTTATGGTGGAGGCAAGATTGTGGATTGCTGCCTTTCATTACTGGTTAAAACTGATTTTTTTACCCACTGGCCTTTCCCATACTATGATGCAAGATAACTTTGTTCCTTTATGGCGAAAAAATATAGAAGATAAACTGTTCTGTTATGGTTTTTCAAAACAGTTTATACTGTCTTTGGGACATGATCAGGCTAGATCTGTTGTAAAACAAAGATTATTAGATGTGGAATGACAGATGGACGTGAGCAGGATTAGGAGCCCTGTATTTGATGTAGGTACACTTAACAAGATAGTTTTGAGACCTTATATCAACTATTTAGATATCAGCAATCATAGAAGAATTTTTACCCTACTACGATACAACGCCTTACCCTCAGCCATAATGGAGGCCAGATTTACTAGATCATTGAAGAAAAGTTGTATATGTGGGATGGGAACTGATGAAACATTGGAACATGTAATTTTCGATTTTATTATATATCATAATATTAGGGAAGTTTTGATTAAGCCTATAGTTAACTCCTTTCCAGGTTGTAATAGAAGGATACTTTTGTCAATTATGCTGGCAGGAGATAATCAAAAGCTGACCAGGATAGTTGCCAAATTTGGTTGGTTGGCATACCAAACTAGGAAAGAGAAAAAGTACAGATAGGCCTAAATCTAATTTCTGATCTTAAATATCGATTTTATCATTTCTGTATTTTAAAGTTTTTAGATTCCTATTTATAATTTTAAATGCCATTTAATATTTTATTTTTATTGTGCCATTTTATAATTTTATTGTTCCCTTATCTGTACTTATTTGTTTTCTATTATACTGGTCCATGACTGTAATAAAGAATTGTTGTTGGTACCACTGGACTACGTAAGGATTGCTATTTCCCTGGCCCTGAGACTATTATTCCACTTAACAAATCTCATTTCTTATTTCACATTTCCTCATAATTCTTCCCAAATTCCCAAATGGCACTTCCTCATTTAGTCACAGATTCTTTTTTAATGAGTGTGTAAGTCATTTTGTTAGAAATGGTATTTATTTGCTTCAGACAGTGTTAAACTTAGGCCAGCAGCTTGATTGGCAAAGAAGAAAGGGGTGGTGAAAGGAAGGTCACTTCCTAACGTTGGTTGGCACCAACGATGTGGTGAAATGCAGTCGTAAGGTCCTGGAGGAGAAATTTAGGCTGCTGGGGAGGAAACTTAGGTCCAGGACCTCCAAGGTAGCCTTCTCAGAAGTGCTACCTGTTCCACTCGCAGGGCTGGAGAGACAGGCACAGATCAGGAGTCTCAATGCGTGGATGAGACGATGGTGTAGGGGGGAAGGTTTCACGTTTGTTAGGCACTGGGATGCTTTTTGGAACAAGAGGGAGCTGTACAGGCGAGGCGGTCTCCACTTTTCCCAAGAAGGAACCAGGCTGCTGGCGCTTAAAATCAAAAAGGTGGCAGAGCAGTTTTTAAACAGAATATTGGGGGAAAGCCGACAGGAGATGAAAAGTCTCTGGTTTGGGTTGGCTCATCTCAGAGAGATGAGGGGGTACCTGTTGCTTTTCTACAGGGAGGTGGATTGAAATTGTCCACTGAGACCATGGCTAGTGACATGGACTGCCTGACAAGGTCTCGAGATAGCAAGAGGAAGGTTGCAGGCTTAACTTGTATGGGAAATTATAGCTGTTTCTATACAAATTCTAGAAGTGTCCTAGGGAGTTGGAGTGCTTGGTGTTGGAGGGAAAAATAGACATTGTGGGTATTTCAGAAACTTGGTGGGATGAGGAAAATCAATGGGATAGAGTGATTCCCGGTTATATATTATATCGGAAGGATAGGGGGGGAAGGGTTGGAGGTGGGGTGGCTCTGTATGTCAGAGAGGGTATAAAGTCCAGAAAGATCGAGAGGCTAAGAGAATTGGATTCGCTTCTTGAAGTTCTGTGGGTTGAAATAGGGGGGCCAAAAGGAAACTTAACACTGGGAGTTTGTTATCGCCCACCGGATCAAAAGATAGAGGAGGATTATAAAATGATGAATGAATTAAAGATAGCAGCTAGACAAAAACACTGTGTCGTAATAGGTGATTTTAACTACCCACACATTGATTGGGTCAATATGTGTTCTAGTCGAGAGAAAGAGATTGAGTTTCTAGACACTCTAAATGACTGTGCTATGGAGCAGATGGTCATGGAACCTACCAGGGGAGAGGCGATCCTTGATTTGGTCCTAAGTAACACTCAAGACCTGGTGAGAGATGTAAAAGTGATTGCACCGCTTGGGAACAGTGATCATAATGTTGTTGAGTTCAACATTTGTACAAATAGGGAATTGGCCAAAAAGACTCACACAACCACTTTTAACTTTAAAAGGGGTAATTTTTCTGATATGAGGGGACATGTGGGGAGGAAACTGAAGGGAAAAGTAGAAAGGGTCAAAACCATTGGGGAAGCTTGGAAACTGTTTAAAACTACAATTCTAGAAGCTCAAATAAAATATATTCCGCAGGTTAGGAAAGGCACAAACAGGTATAAGAAAAAGCCTACATGGTTAACAAACAAAGTAATGGAAGCTGTAAAAGGTAAAAAGGATTCCTTTAAGCGGTGGAAAGCTAGTCACAGTGAGGCTGATAAAACAGAACACAGGCTATGGCAAATAAAATGCAAGTCTGTGGTCAGGCATGCAAAAAGGGAATATGAGGAGCATATAGCAAAAAATGTAAAGACCAACAATAAAACTTTCTTCAAATACATTAGAAACAGGAAACCAGCCAGGGAGGCAGTGGGGCCCTTGGATGACCAAGGGGTAAAAGGAGTACTGAAGGATGATAGGGAAATGGCTGAGAAGCTAAATGCATTTTTTGCCTCCGGGTCCCCACACCTTAAAAAGGATATTATAGCTTTGGAAAAAGTACAGAAAAGGGCAACTCGAATGATAAAAAGGTTGGAACACTTTCCCTATGAGGAAAGGTTAAAGCGCTTAGGGCGCTTTAGCTTGGAGACTGAGGGGTGACATGATTGAGGTTTATAAGATTATGCATGGGATAGAGCAGGTAGAGAAAGAGGTACTTTTCTCCCTTTCTCACAGTACAAGAACTCGTGGGCACTCAATGAATTTGCTGAGTGGTCGGGTTAGAATGAATAAAAGGAAGTACTTCTTCACCCAAAGAGTGATTAACACATGGAATTCACTGCCACAGGAAGTGGTGGCGGCTACAAGCATGGACGGTTTCAAAAGGGAATCAGATAAGCATATGGAGCAGAGGTCCATCAGTGGCTATTAGCCACAAGGTATAGATAGGGGCTCTGGGGCAAGTGATGCTCTGTCTTCTTGGTGCTTTGGGGGGGGGCAACAGTGGGAGGGCTTCTGGTGTACTGGCCCCACTGGAGGACCTCCTGATGGCACCTGGTATTTTTGGCCACTGTGTGACACAGAGTGTTGGACTGGATGGGCCTTTGGCCTGATCCAACATTGGCGTCTCTTATGTTCTTATGTCTATTCTGAAGTGGATGTAGACTACATATTCACACAGAAACATGTGCATACAAGGTCGCAGAGCCATTGGGCCATCAGTATCAGGACTGTGTATTCTGATTGGCTGTGGTTCTTGAGGGTCTCAGGTGGAGAAAGGTCTTTCCCAACTGAGGTTCTTTAGAGATACTGAGGACAGCAGTTAGGACCAGCTGCCTGAGCCACATGTGTGGCACCAATAGTGCACAGCACAGCAGTGCCTTTTTGCATTACGAAGTTCAAAGGATGTACTGCCAAACATAGTCACCTCCAACACCCATTATATCAAGCCACAAATATTGGTGGGATTCAAATTTCAATACCCATTTTTTGTCACTTTTGTGCCATAATGGAGCAATTTTCTGATGCACTTTCAAATTAAGCTGTCTTCTTCAACCCATGGCATGCACCCTGCCATTGAGCCGTGCCCTCTCCCCAGAATATGTGGTGGATCCTTCTCTTTGGGCATAGTATTTTGTCTGTGATTTTGAACTCTAGTCCTTTTCTTCTCAAAGTGAGAAGCATATTCCCTAGAACAACAGGCAGGCTCTCCATCCCATTGGACATAAAGTTCTCAAAAGCTGTTGACTTATCCAATCAAAACCACCGCTTTTTCTATTTCAAAACAAATCAATAAACACCTATTTTGGACTTGATTCTGGAGAAGGGCTCCATGTATGGCATAAGTATTCCCCACTGCACTCTCATTCTCCATGGCTGGTTCTTTGCACTTCAAAAGTTAGAACTGTAGCTTTTGGGAGACTTCCTTTACCTTGGTTGAGTAGGGGTCATATTTTTTAAACACGTGGCTGCAGTTCGTCCTCTGCACCTCTTCTACAACCTGGGGGGAACATCAAGAAAAAGTCAGACTCAAAAGAAAAGATAATGTTAAGGAGTAAAGGAGTATGTGTATGATTCCCCGGAGACAAACTGACTAGCAAGAGTCAGGAATATATGAATTTACCCCAAATGACTTTACCCCTTTCAAACCCTTCAGGAGGATCCAACCAGTGGGCATCCCCCCCCTCCCGAATGGCTATGAGTGTAGGAGGTATGACTTGCCATATGGGAACTAGAGATCTAGACTTCAGAGATCAGTCCCCCCGGAGAAAATGGCTGCTTGGAGGATGGGCTCCATGGCATTATGCCCCGCTGAGGTCCCTCCCCTCTCAAACCCTGCTGTCCCCAGGCTCTGTTACCAGAGGCATCCATTTTGGACTATGTTATGAGTTATGCTTATGAACATAAACTTAACACAGAGCGGGCTAGTGAAGAAACTATGGAACACAGGGTTCAACCAGGGGACAAGCAAAGACAATGCCAGCTGCATAGGATGATCATCACCTAGCCAGCAAGGTCTCCAGAGTCGTTAAGCTCTTTATGTATACAAACATTAAGGTTGATCACCACCCCGAAGCTCATCAAGCCTAGCCCAGACCGAATGTCTTCACCTGACAAGCTTAACAAAAGAAGTCCTCCCGTGCCAGACTAACAATAAAAGTCCATTCCACATAGCAACCATCACGTCAGCGCTACTGGTGACACAGCACGTACCTCTCGCCCCCGCCTAGACACCTCCCCTTTAGTTAATCGATAGATTGGAAATTGACCCCATAGCCAATCACTGACCTTAGGGGTCGGGCTACCTAGTAATCTGTTTGAGCCCACCCCCTCCCCTCGCAGCCGAGCCCTTAAAACATCTTGCACAGAGCCAAGAGACCTACCTACCCTCCTTCATACCAACGACCTCTCTCTGTCTGCTAAAACCTCTCTTGTCCCACTTGCTATACCAAACTCCCGATTACCGCTTCGCCTTAGTCTGCAGCTAAGGTCAATCCACGTGTTCCCGGCTGGTCTGGATTCACGTGTTTTCTACCCCATTTTCCACCCCTTCCGCCCTCCCATCCCGCTGGAAGTTTTCGGAGCTGAGCCACGCTATTTGGTAAATATAACCCACCAACGATACTCCTGCTCATGCGACTGTGCTGATATCTTACTTGTTTTCTTAGTTCTTGTATGCCTGTGTGGTTTTTATTATCACTCTTGTGTGGTTGAACTATATATTCAGTAAAGAAAGATTTATTTTAACTTTTGTTTCGCCTCTTCATTGAAACGTAACGGCTTAGCCCATCCTGCGTATACATTGATCAAGATCCCGATTAATAAACTGTTCCAATTGCCTCTCCTAAAGAGCAATTCGGCTAACAGCTCCACCCCCAGAATCTCCAGTAATTCCCCCAGCCTGGAGTTGGCAACCCTAGGGGGTGTGTACCAGATTGTAAGATTTGGTCTTTAAGGGATTGTAGATGACCCAGTCCTTGGCGAGGGATTTGATCTAGACTGGCTGTTGGCGCCTTCCAACTCTATGGCTTTACAGTTAAGAGTTTTGTTATAAAACAGGTACAGAAGAAATCCAAACCAAGCAAGCGAAACGGTCTGTGAGAAGAAAGGTAGCTGGTGCTAGGCATGTAAAGGGAGGGCCATCCATTAGGATGTGGAGGCAGGACTTCAGTTTATGGCCTGCCAGGGCTTGAAGCCATGGTGTTGCCAGCTTGCCCACCTGGTTCTGCAGCCAGCCCTGAGGAGGCCCAGCACCAAAACTGCACCAACTGCCGCCTTGCCTCTGAAGCTGGGGGTAAGCCCCGTGTCCTGCTCTCTTCTCCACTGAGGGGCTGCTGCCCTGCCCTCCTATTCCACCTTTGCAGTGGTTGTAGTACAGCTCTTAAGAGCTCCAATCCAGCTCCAGCTCTGCACAAGAACTTTAAGGCCAAAGTGTACTCTCACTTTCAGGAATCTGAAATAAATTGGGATTATAAATCTAGATGGGAGGGGGATAGGTGGGACATGGAGATCTCCTGGAATTACAACTGATCTCCCGATGACAGTGATCTGTCCCCCTGGAGAATATACCGTAGCTGCTTTGGACTCTATGGCGTATCTGGTTTGTGGCCCCTCCCCAAACTCCACCCTCCCTAGACACCTCTTTTCTCTGATGACATATTTGCTGGAATTGGTGTAATACAGAGTAAAAGAACACTATTATCACAGACAAAATGACATTAGTTCAAATGTGGAAGCATCAAGTAACTCTAGAAAAATACAGTGATTAGGTAGTGTTTGGTCTGTAATGACTGAACCTGATCTTCTTTTATGACACTCTGGAATCAGTACATTCCAGTGAACATAATAGAGAAGGTGGTACTAGAATGTCTTTAATAATGTATTTAATCACTTTTTTGAGATTGTTTCCTGTGAATAATTCTGCATTGCTATATTCTCTACTATGATTATGATGGCTGAATCTACTTTGACGTAATTTTCTAAGCTTTTATGGATTCTTAATATTGTGGATACTGTATACACATTTATATTTATAAGAATGCTTTATTATTTATCTATTTATTCTTTTAAAATATTTTAAAAGATCCAGACCTTTTTGACGGCATGACGATATAACTGCCCAGCAGATTTGCCTTCTTCTTCCGGTTTCAGGTGATATCCCAAGATGCTGGGCTTTTCTCTGACTTCCCAGGCTCTCTTTCTGATGTTGTTTACAAAATACCAGGTATTTGGATCATACTGAACGAATTCAGACAGCTTCAGGCCAAACTTCTTTATGTATTCACGGACAATCCTGAGAGGAGAAAGAAGGAAATCATGAACCAAAGCCGAAAGATTAGAAAGATACAAAACTCTGAGCATTTAGTACCAAGTTGAAAAGCTGAATTTTGAGTGACAGGACTATGAGGCAGATAAGAGGGAGCTTCTCTATCTCCCCCCCCCCCATGGATAGTGCAAACACAGGTCACTCAAGTGGCAATGGTAACAACATAAGAGAAGCCAATGCTGGATCAGGCCAATGGCCCATCCAGTCCAATACTCTGTCACACAGTGGCCAAAAATACCAGGTGCCATCAGGAACTCTACCTGTGGAGCCAGGACACTAGAAGCCTTCCCACTGTCCCCCCCCCCCCAAGCACCAAGAATACAGAGCATCACTTGTCCCAGACCTAGAGTTCCTACCTATACCATGTGGCTAATAGCCACGGATGGACCTCTGCTCCATATGTTTATCCATACCCCTCGTTGGGACTAGGGTATTCTCCTAATGAGATGGTATTTGTTAGGAAGCTGCCTGGAGTTCTGGAATTGTTAATAGTGAACTGGAAAAGGTTTTGGGCCTCAGAGATGCCCCAGCCTGCCACAGAGTATTTTTCAAATCTACAAAGGGGTCTTGCAGAGTGTAAGACAAACAGCTCATGAGGTGATGGTGGAGGACAGGCAAAAGCAGAAATGGTATTCTGATAAATCAGCCAGGTCCAGGCAGCTACAGGAGGGAGACCTGGCTTTGTTGCTGAAACCAGAAGGCGTGAGGAAATTCGATCTGAGGTGGAGTGGGCCATTCAAAGTACTGAAAAGCTGTGGTGATGGAAATTATCAAGTGGAGGATTCAGAAAGAGGGACCTTGTTGGTGCACATTAATTTAAATTGTTTTGTCAGTCGTAAGGTACAGCTATTGTTAGGGGAAATTGGATTTAGGAAGATTTTGACATCCCTGATTTAGTGGCAGAGAATGGAAAGAAAGAGGGACTGGGAAATATTCCTATTAATGAGACGTTGACAGCAGAACAGCAAAGGCAATTGAAAGATGTGTTGCAAGACTTTGCAACCCTGTTCACAAATCGCCCAGGGAGAACTGATCTAATCAGTCATGATTTAGATACAGGGGAGCATCCACCGATCAAGTGCAATCCATATCCCATCAGAGGGCCAATCAGGGAGCTAGTGAGGAAGGAGATACAGAAAATGCTTAAGATGAGAGTCATAGAGCCTAGCACTTCGGAGTGGATCAGTAATCTTGTAATAGTTCCTAAAAAGAAGCTACTTGAAGGAGACCCCCCCCAGAATACCAATTGTGTGTAGATTATAGAAGGTTAAACCAATTGTGTAAAACCGATCAATATCCAGCACCAAATCGAGAAGAGGTCCTGGAAAGGATTGTGAATGCATAGTATATCATAACTTGGATCTCACATCTGGGTTTTGGCAGTTACCGCTAATGGAAAGAGCTAGGGATAGAACAGCTTTTTCATGTTTTATGGGTAAATTCCATTTCACTTGCTCCCATTTGGAATCAACTCTGCCAGTAAGATGTTCAAGAGATCAATGGACAAGGTGCTACAGGGATTAGATTTCTCAGGAAGCTACCAGGATGATATTGCAGTGACCAGTTAATCCTGGTCACAGCATTTAGACCATCTAAGAGTCGTATTACAAGAATTCAAGAGGCAGGATTAACTATTAAGCCTTCAAAATGCCAAATAGCCAATAGCTCAGTTGTGTACTTGGACCACCAATTAGGGAGAGGGAAGATAGTGCCACACACAGCAAAATTAGATGTCATTGTTAATTGTCCAATTCCAACCACCAAGAAGCAGGTGCTGAATTTCCTAGGGGTGTGTGGATTCTATAGGAGATTTATTTCTAACTTCTCACATCATACAGCACCAGCCACCAATTTATGTAAAAAAAGGATATGTGGGAGAGTGCCCTGGACACCTGAGTGTCAAAGAGCTTTCAACACACTAAAGAGGAGGCTTGTAAAAGCCCCAGTCCTCAAACCACCAGACTATTCCCAGGAGTTCATCATGCACACTGATGCCAGCCGGTATGGCTTGGGTGTGGTTCTATGGCAGAAAGGGCAAGATGATTGCCTCCATCTGGTAGTATGCCTGAGTCGCAAGCTATTGCCCAGGGAGCAGAAATACAGTGTTATTGAGCAGGAAGCCTTGGGAGTAGTATGGGGGTTAAATAAGCATAAGACATATTTGAGGGGGGCACACTTTCAGATGGAGACATTTCACAGTCCATTGGTCTTCATCCACAAGATGAAAGAGACTAATGCCAGGATTTTGAGATGGGCATTATCCCTACAAGATTTTTCATTTGATGTTAAATATATTAAGGGAAAAGAAAATGTATTAGCTGACTCCCTCTCAAGGTGTTTTGCTGAAGTAGAATAAAATGATAAGACAACGCCTAGCTGATAAGATGGGGAATAACATGAATTGTTTTGAACTTATGTCTTCTTTGTTTTCTCTCAAAGAAAGTGAGATGGATGTTCACTCTCTTTCTGCGTGGGTGTGTGTGTAAGGAAGAGACCTGTTTGTGTGTAAGCAGCAACACCGAAGAACTGAATGAGGGTAGGAGGGAAAGGATCGACCTTGCAAGTCATTGTAGGAACTGTCCAGTTCTTGGCTTCGCAAGAGCTGCACAGCTGAGATATCTTCATTAACAGATGGACTGGATAGAAGGATGGGTAGCGTCCTAACAGGTCCTTCCAAGGATAAAAGCCAAAGGGGGGCGGGGGCAGCAAAAAGCACACGTCTTTTGGGCAGGATTTTCCCTACCTTTTGGAGTTTATTTATTTATTTTATTACATTTATACTCCGCCCTCCCCGCAAGCGGGCTCAGGGCGGCTTACATAGGCACAACAGTGCAATAAAATACAACACGATTAAAACAATTTAGGCACCCAAAGTGCGATAAAATTACACAGTTAACCACTTAAAACACAATTAAATCTTACAGAATGCATCGGTGATTAAAATACTCACTCATTGTTATATATCACAGTGAGATCAGACGAACGGGGCGTGCTATGGGCCAAGATGTTCCGGATGGCTAATCAGCCCACCCTGACGGCACTGCTCTGCAGTACACGGGAGCTCATTCCACCAGGTAGGAGCCGCCACCAAAAAGGACCTGGCCCTTGTGGCAGCAAGCCTGGCCTCTTTAGGTCCTGGGGTCACTAGGCGGTGTTGTGACCCCGACCGAAGTGCTCTTTGGGGCCTGTATGGGGAAAGGCGGTCCCTCATGTATGCTGGACCCTGGCCATGTTTGAATAAGTTTCAGCTGATTTTAATGAGTATTTGTATTTTGGCAACCATTGAAGTACGTTGAATTTTCCTTTGTTCATCTAATTATTGTTAATCAAGATTGCCTTGCCTTTTCTTTTATAATAAAAGTACTTTTGCCTGATTTACTGAACTGGACTGTACAGCCTGAAGCCAACTATCCTGATAGAGAACCCAAGGCCTGCATCATACACATATGCTGTCTTAGTCCTTCCTTTGGAGTGCATAATTAGGGTTGCCGAGGTTATGAAATCCTTGGAGATTTGGAGGGTGAAGCCTGTGGGGAGTAGGATTTGGGAAGGGGAGGGACTTCAGCAGGGAATGATGTCATAGAGTCCACCTTCCAGAGCAGCCATGTTCTCCAAAGGAACTGATCTCTGTAGTCTGCAGGTCAGTTGTAATTCAGGGTCCCATCCTAGTGCATATCAATACCAAGATAATAGATCTCTTCTGCACAAGCTTGGCAAACAATAAAGAAAAGAGCAATAGTAGAAGAGCAGGAGAGGGTTTATGACTGTTAGTTGATCAGATGAGGAGTGTGGTTACCTCATGTCTTACCTGTGCTCCTTAGGCAAACGCATAGGCCCCAGATCTGCATACCAGCCTTCCTTTTGATTTCTGTAAGTCTCCGCTCGTCCTCCCACCCGCCCGCTGGCTTCAAGAACTGTTACCTGAAGCCAAAGAAGAAAACATTTACTTCCTTGACAGCTCTCACTCTTGGGCACTGTTGTGTACCCAGTGAGACCGTGCACGCGGTCGGGTCTGCACGTGGCCATGCAAAGGGCCCAACCTTCACTTCCAAGAGACAATAGCCTGAACAGATCCTAGCGCACACCTATCAGATGGCTAGGATCCGAGAAGGGACCTATGGGACTTGGGTGCACTGTAAATAGCCTATCACGGTTGTGGGTGTGTGTTTGGGTGTGGTTTGCTACGGGGATATAAGCCGGCCTGTGGCCCGGCTACTGGATCTCAAGTTCTCCTTTTGAATAATAAAGTATGAGCTGAAATCACTCTGCTATGCCTCAGTCTCAGTACTTTATAGGCACATTTCCATCATCTGGAGACAATTAGGGAGGACAGGTTGTCTCCTTAAACTGATGTAACGGCGTCTGGCTGACAGCATTGTTTGGCTGCATTGGTTCTTTTCTCTCTATACCGTATGTCCTGGGAATAGAGGTTCTCACATTGCATCTTCAGCTCTCATTCCCTGTCCTTCCCTCACTCTTGGGTCTCCCTCTCAGAAACAGGCACAGCGGATGAAATGGTACAGCTGTGACTGGACTGTACCAAGTCAGCTGCAACCCCCTTCCCCAAGCTGGATCAGTCTGCAGTGAATGGGGGTGTGACGGACTGCACCTTAAAAACTCATAAGTGCTGTATAGACTGTGAAGAGTTAATGCCTCACAGAGCCAGAGAGCCTTGAGTGACAGGGTGCTCAAACAAATTTGATTGGTTAGCGTCAGTTGAGCAGAAGAAGTTGGGAACTGATTGCTGAAGAGAATACAGTTTGAATGTAGCCCTGACTTTGGAAAGTTTAGCTCTGACTGAAAACAGTTTCATACTGACTGAGGACAGGGAAGTTGGGCAAGGAGGAGTGGCAGGATTGATGAAGACCTCCATTTGGGCCAGAAAAAAGGATAGATCTTTTAGTTAGATAAAAGACTCCCTGCCCAGTTGGAAAGGAATATAGCTCTAAAGAGTGGAGTGATTAGAGAAGGAATTTGGGTACTTGGTAGTGTATCCATGCCTTCTGAAACCTGAAGAGTCAGATGAACTCAAGAAACTGTACTGGAGTGTTTAGAATTAATTACCTCAGAGTTATATTTGATTCAGCTCAGACATTTTACCCCAGATTTCACCTGACCTTTTCTCCTCTACGTTGAATAAAATATTTATTTTTGAACTTTAAAAAAAGCCTTGTGTGCCATTTTCAGAAGTTTAAGAGGGTGATATTGTCTCTTCCCTCAAGTTCCTGTGCCAAGCCAGCAGCAAAATACAATTAAGTCACAGGGTGGGACAGCCACAGATCTTCAGCAAAGAAGGGAAGAGGAAAAAATAGAGGGAAAACCAAGTATCTAAGTGAGGGAACAGGGCTAGGTTGTCATAGGGGGAATGAACCTTTTCTGGTCAAGCTATTTTCCTTACCTCAAACAACCTCCTGGAACTATATGACTCCTTGGGGAAAACTTATAGGAAACACACATAACTTCTGTAAGCAAATCCAGTAGCACCTTAGAGACCAACAAGATTTTGGGGGCATGACCTTTTCTGAGTCAAAGGTCCCTCTGTCAACTTCTGTGTTTCCCTTAGTGAGTCATAGCAGGTTGGTGTGTATGTGTGTTGAGGTCACGAATCACACAACAGCACAAGAGACGGCTTCACTCTGAAATGGGCCTCCATGATGGCTGAGAGCCATTGTGGTGCTGTTGTTAGAGTGTCATACTAGGATCTGGGAGACCCAGGTTCAAATCTCTACTCTGCCATGGAATCTCGCTGGGTGACCTTGGGCCAGTCACACACTCAGCCTAACCTACCTCACAGGATTTTTGTGAGGATAAAATGGAGGAGAGGAGAATGATGTAAGTTATTTTGGGTCCCCACTGGAGAGAAAGGCGGGTTATAAATAAAGCAAATAAACAAGTATTTCTCAAGAGAAATGTCTCAAAGGTTCATTCATGGATTTCCCACTGACTTGTCCAATTTGATGCTTAGCAACAGGGACGATTTACTCTTTTGATCCCGCCCTCTTCTCTTTTCCTGGCTGACTCAACTCACGATAGCATGAATTTAGGGCAAACAAATAACATGCAATAATTATTTTGGCTGTTGTTATTTTTCCTTGAGAAAAGTGGCCACAAGTTCAGTCAGGGCCTTACCTTGTGCCCTGCCTCTGTGAGTACATGGGCTGCGCTGAGTCCTGCCATCCCTGCACCCACGATCAGCACATGCTTACGGTGCATTGGCTTCTTCAGCCCATACTTGGCTATCTCTAGGAATTCTTCATAACCTGGATCTCTGAAGCATTTTGCCAGTGGGCTTTCTTGGCCGCTGCAGCTTAGAAGTGTGACTAAGAACCACAGCGAGGAGAGCACTGGGATAGAGCAACAAATACAGAAATTAAAACACAATGAAATTGGTTTTAGTTGTACATTTTCCTCTTTGCCCGCTTCCAGCGGATTCCTTGTTGTCCATGGCCAGTTCAGCATTAAAAAGAACAACAGCAAAACCTCTTCATGCAGCATATACTTGATGGGATTTGCTGTTGTGATGGCTATTACCATACCATAATCAGCTTTTAAAAAGGGGATTAAGCATACGCATGGAGAACAGGTCTATCAGTTCCTACTAGACATGAGGACTGAATGGAACTTCCACATTCACAGGCAGTCCAACTTTGAATTAAGGTGGCCAACATCCAGGTTGGGCCTGGAATTCTCCCATAATTACAATTGATTTCCACTACAAAGATCAGTTCTTCTGAAGGAAACAGAGTGGCCAAACTCCAGGGAGTAGTTGGAGATCCCCCACTATCACAACCAGAGGTCATTTCGGGGGGGGGATCACGGGGGATCGCAGTTCCCCCGGGTAAGGTGTGGGGGGCGGGGGCACACGACGAAGCCACACCCCCTGCTTCTGGCCGCCCCGCTTCCGGCCCTCATTCAGCCAGGAGGAGGCAGGAGAAGAGGGAGGGTAAGTTGCTTCCTCCCCGTCTCTCCCCACCCCTGCTGGCCTGGGGCCAGGGAGGGCCTTGGCGGGGCTTCCTCGCACTCCCGCCGGCCTTGCAGGTCCACTGTCGGGCCTTATGATGTCAGGGGGTGTGGCATATGCTAATGAGTTATGCTAATGAGTTCCCGTAGCTCTTTTTCTACGAAAAACTGATCTCCAGGTGATTGAGATCAGTTCACCTGGAACAAACAAACAACCTTTATTGGCATAACAACCGTATTATAACAGGGAGGAAACAGTCTGAATAGTCAAGGCCCTGTCTGCTTATACGTTGCTCGCCTCCTAGCTGCAAGGTACACAAATTTGGCCACAGTTTCAATCACAATTTGGTTCCGAGTAGATAATAAAAAATAATTTTGCATCCATCAGATTTCCCTGCTTGCTCTCTCAACAAGGGATCAATAAGTGTGGAACATATAGCAAGTTAATAAGTACAGAACAAAAAAAAATGTTCAAGGCTCTCTATGTCCCACTGATTTAGGGCTGCAAAGTCCCCCCGGGGAGTGGGGATTCCCCCACTCTAAGGGCCCTCTATCCACCAGTCCAGATCTGGCCGTTGAGGGGAACCCCACCCCCAAGTGGCCAGATTGGGCCAACATGCCTGGCGTAATGACATAGCTTGGAAGTGACACCATCATGCTGGGCACTTCACCGGGCGATGCTCTGGCAATCAGCCTGAAAACTCTATGGTACCATAGAGTTTTCTGGCCAATTGCCAGAGCGTTGCTCGGCGATGTGCCCAGCGTGATGGCGTCACTTCCGGGCTATGTCATCACAGCACGTGCATGCTATGCACGTGCGCGAATGTCCCGGCCAGGGACCCCAACTTCCCCGCTAAACAAAGGTAAGCATTTGGCAACCCTACACCGATTATGTGTGCATAGCCTGTTAGCGTATGGTATTTTATGAAATCTCCCATAGAGAACCGCAGAGTGTAGCACATTGAAATGGGCTAATGAATAAGCTCTGCTATAGTGGGGGGCTGTTAAATGGGTTGAATACTCTGGCAGCACATATACTAAAATTTGAACAAAACAGAGAAGATTAGCATGGCCCTGTGCAGTTCACTTGGGGAAAATGACTGCTTTGCAAGGTGGATTCTATGGCATTGTACCCTATTGAAGTCCCTCCCCTCACCAAACCCTGCCCTCCTCAGGCTCCTCCCCCCAAATCTCCAGGTATTTCCCAATCTAGAACTGTCAACCCTAGAAGGAAATGGCAACTTCAGAGGGTAGACTCTATGATATATCATAGATTCTATACATAATCTCTTCCCAGATTCCCCCCCATCCACAGGCACTGCCCCCAGGTCTCAAAAAAATTTCCTCAGGTGGACTTGGCAACCCTACTGAATATCAGTATTTGGGGGAGGGACAGTAGGCAAGTCTCTTGCCTGCTTGTCCTACTGCCAGAGGTCATTTCGGGGGGGGATCACGGGGGATCGCAGTTCCCCCGGGTGAGGTGCAGGGGGCGTGGCACATGACGAAGCCCCGCCCCCTGCTTCTGGCCGCCCCGCTTCCAGCCCTCATTCAGCCAGGAGGAGGCAGGAGAAGAGGGAGGGTAAGTTGCTTCCTCCCCGCCTCTCCCCACCCCTGCCTGCCTGGGGCCAGGGAGGGCCTTAGCGGGGCTTCCTCGCACTCCCGCCGGCCTTGCAGGTCCACCGCTGGGCCCCTGATGTCAGGGGGTGTGGCATATGCTAATGAGTTATGCTAATGAGTTCCCTTAGCTCTTTTTCTACGAAACGACCCCTGCCTACTGCAGCGTTTTTGTCAACCACCTGGGAAAAAATGTCCTGCCCCATTAAGAGAGGCTTAATAGAATGCTCTTTACTTCAGTTTTTCTCCATGCCTGTTGGCAACCTTTTGCAGGAATTTTAGTTTAAATGTTTAAAAAGTGTAGCTTAACGCCATTCTTATTTCATCACTAAACCTTATGACAGTGCTCTGTAATGGACAGTGCAGATCCACTCTCACCTCTGCTGAATGAAATATAGCCCGTTCATAATAAACACCTATTTCATATACGAGCAGTCTAGTCCCGACATGTCCCTGCTGTCTCTTTCAAGCAATCTAAGGGAAAGCAATAGTTCTGCTGATCTCTTTCTGTTTAATCTTAGCATTATCTAGATTCATTTTCAATGGACATAAAGTCGGAACAACTAATTGATGAACAGAGTGATCCTTAAAATATCTTTGAAAATTAATCCCAGACCTAGCATATTCAGAACAGTGTGCTAACAGACAGGTAGGAATATTACTAGAGTGAAATATCAATAAAAAGCATTCAAAACGTAATGGACCAGGGATTCATTCAACCTCGATAAGATCAATAGAGGATGGTCTGGTTTTGAGAAAAATGCTAGATGTTTCCTAGCATACCATCTAGTGGACCAGTTAATATATCTCCCTTGGTAGGGAAAAATGTTGGCAACCACACATTTTGGTTCATAGATAAGAGAAGCACTCTCAGTCTTCTTATTGGCTGCAGATACAGGAGTTTAAGACTCTCGCACAGTCATCTTCCCTTTGGCTTCTCAGGTTCTTTTGTTGATTAGAAAGTTCCTTTAAGGGAGAGTCATTCATTCCAGACCTTGAAAAGTAAGCTGTTATCTTGTCAAGCTTCTCGTAAATTAGCTGTAGTGTCTTAGCTATTAAGTTTGTTTGGGTTGCCAATAAAGACAAATCTTCAGGCTTGCTAGGCTGACATACTGGAGATGGAGAGTGGTGATCATGAGTGCTATTGTTTAAAATCAGAGACTGTTCCAAAGAAAGGGTGGTGTCCTCCTCCTGGTGAGCAAGGCAGGCAAATCTATTAGGGTCAAAATAGTCCTCCAATCTTGTTTGTTTGCTCACTGAGATATCACATTCTTTCTCAAAGGGATAGGATTGTTTCTTTCCCATATCAAATCCTAATCCCAATATTTGCTTTCCAAATGAAAACTTTTGTGGACCTTTGCGGGCCTTTGCAAGTGTTTGCTGTACTACGGTTTCACCGTTCCAGCGCTAATTATTTGCTGCACCTGGTTGCTGCACCTGGATCTCAACTTGCTACTTTAAAGGAGAGCTTCTTTATTCAATATTGTGATAAAGAAGTAAAATTATCATCCAGAGATTCTGTTGTTATAGATAGTGTTGTACCATGAATAATCCAGCTACAGTAGCAAGCAGCAAGCTTTAGAAGCTCCAAGACGCCGACATACTCTTAGCTTCTCGCTTGTTAGTTAAACAATTAGATAAGGAAGTAAACTTATCAACCCAGTGTGCTGGTAAGTATAATTTCAGTGTGCGCTTCAAGGAGGATAGATCACTTCTCCATATAAATCCTATTCAAATATTCAAAAATTCAAGAATTCCATAAAACATGTATAAAGAATTATAATTTATCTTTACAGTCTTTCAAAATTCTTTTTAGATGGTATCTTACCCCAGCAAAGCTTTCACATATAGTCCCATCACAATCACCACAATGCTGGAAACGTGGCTCTAAAGGCACTTTTTGTCACAACTGGTGGGATTGCCCCTATGTAACAGATTTTTGGGAAAAGATCTTATTGAAAATTAGATTTTTAACAGGATATTTACTACCAAAAGATCCTGCTCTTATTATCTAAAATGTATGGGACTTTTTTGTCCCAATGTGCAGTGGCATAAGAACATAAGAGAACATAAGAGATGCCAATGTTGGATCAGGCCAAAGGCCCATCCAGTCCAACACTCTGTGTCACACAGTGGCCAGAAATACCAGGTGCCATCAGGAGGTCCACCAGTAAGCGCCAGCAGCCTGGTTCCTTCTCGGGACAAGTGGAGACCGTCTCGCCTGTACAGCTCCCTCTTGTTCGAAAAAGTATCCCAGTGCCTAACAAACCTGAACCCTTCCCCCCTACACCATCGTCTCATCCACGCATTGAGACTCCTGATCAGAGGATGGCTCTCTAACAGCTCTGGCTGGCTTGCTGGCTCTTGCCCTAGCCAGGGCCGGCCCCAGCTTATTTTGCACCCTAGGCGAGGATCCCTTCTGGCGCCCCCCCC